ACTTTACTGACGAACAGTTAAAGATTATTTTCTCTAATTTGAGATTATTCTGTAACATAGTTTCAAAAGGTAATATGTGCTCGCGATTCGTTGAAGGAATCAATTTGAAAACTGACGAACCTTTTCATTCCGTGACTGTACATAGAGCTGGTGTTCAATGTAATGTGATATTTTGTCACTGTGATATATCAAGTTATTAACTGACAAGTATGATAGCAAAAAACTATATCGAGTGACTAATTCATGCTCAAATAAATGTCCCGGACAATAAGTTTCTTTAAAAGAACCATTTAATTGGTAAAAATAATAACAAATGAAAATGAAATTAAACTCCGTAATAAGCTTATCTTTAATTAAAATAGTAGTCTTAACGCGAAGTTTATTAATGAGTTACATTATGTGCGATGCTCACAAGCAGACTGCAGCATCGCAGCCGAAACGTCAAGCCGTGAGCACAATATAATGTAACTCATTAATAAACGTCGCGTTAAGACCCGTGTCTTACTATTTTAATTGAAATGGAACGCAAAAGTTTAGAAGCTTATCTTTAATCCTCCACAGCAATACCTAACCTCCAAGCTGACCTGTGTCCTCGCCCAGACTGAGACCACCACACCGCTCCGCTCCGTCAGAAGCGGAGCGGAGAGCACTGAAGCGGAGGCGGTCGCGGTGGCGGTGGAAGACGATATGGACGAGTTGTTCGACAATATGGAGACTGTCAGGTGAGGATATTATTATTGAATACTAGCTTTCCGCCCGCGGCTTCGAAATTTTGTGTCACAGAAAAAGTTTATCGCGGTGTGTCACAGAAAAAGTTTATCGCGGCATCCCTGTTTCAAAAACCGGAATAAAAACTATCCTATGTCCTTTCCCGGGACTCAAACTACAGGGTGTTAGGTAAATGGGTATATGAGCCGACACTAGCCCATGTTAATATGGGCATATAAATGGTATGGTGAAGTCAGAAAATTGATAATCTTCATTTTAATTATTTTAATTTTCATACAAATCGGATTTTATAAAATTTATTTTGTATGAAAATTAAAAAAATAAAATGTTGATATCAAATTTCTGACTTCACCATACCATTTATATGCCCATGTGAACATGGGCTAGTGTCGGCTCATATACCCATTTACCTAACACCCTGTATATCTATGCCAAATTTCATCAAAATCGGTTCAGTGGTTAAGGCGTGAAAGCGAGACAGACAGACAGAGTTACTTTCGCATTTATAATATTAGTATAGATTACTTCAGCAACAGGACGTCCACTGCTGAACAAAGGCCTCCAATGACTTCCATGACCGGTTGGCAGCGGCCTGCGGCACCCACAAGGTGGACCGACGACCTCATATATGACAACTAGCTTTTGCCCGCGGCTTCACCCGCGTGAAATTTAGTTTGTCACAGATCGTCATAATTTATAGCCTATATGTTATTCTGGGTTATAAACAATAATACTGTAAAGTTTCATAAGAATGCGTTCAGTAGTTTTTGCGTGAAAGAGTAACAAACATCCAGACATCCAAACTTTCGCATTTATAATATTAGTAGGATAGAGTAGGATCATCATTTCAGCCACAGGACGTCAACTGAAATAGTTTATTCAGTACATAGGCTCTTTCCAGGGCACTTATACACGTCCCAAATATAGCTTGCCCTACCACCACTTCGGGACAACTTGGGCTGGTGCTGAGAAGAAGTGGCGGAAGAAACTCCGTCACCTTTGTCACTGCTGAATAGGGTTTGCTCCCGGGAAATCCCGGTACTCTTTTTTCCCGGGAATTCCCGATAATCTAATCCTTTATCTAGTTCCGGTACTGACGATGCAATTCCCGGGACTTTCGGTACTTTCGGGACTTCAATAATTTATTTTTGAATGACAATTTTTTGACTAGATGCCATCCTCTTTTTACGTACACACTATCAACAAATGAAAAAATATTAATAATGTTCCTAATTCATTACTATCCTTTTAATACTGATTGTTTTATCTGATTGTACTTGGGTACTACTTATTATTTCTTATAATAGCGTGTTTTTTTATAAACCTAATTTAGTTAATTTATGTTTTGTCCCTAACTCTTGTCGCTGCCAGTATTTGACATTGATAGAAAGTGAGAAAACATATTATTTTAACTAAAATAGGTTGATTAAACGATTGTTGCTTTTTATATAAATTAGGTAATTTGTTTTAATAACCATTCACGTGGGTACCGAAATTCCCGAATTTCCCGGTTTTCCCGGTACTGGCTTAGACCTGGTACCGGTAATTCAGTAACACTCCTTAGTACCGGGAATTGCAACCCCTACTGCTGAACGTAGGCCTCCAATGACTTCCATAATAACCGGTTGGCAGCGGCCTGCGGCACCCACAAGGTGGACCGACGACCTCATATTATGACAATAACCGGTGATTTTTGTATGAAGTTTGATAGATTTTATACGTTTAAAGCTAAAGTAAGATGGTGCAACTCAGCCTAATGAATATACCGTAAAAGCTCAGTTTACGTTTTACCATAAAAGCTGATTTTTATATACAGGGTGTCCCAAAATTATCACGTCACACATTAATAAATTTTAATGAGTTTGTTCCGGCGTTTCTTCTCAGCACTTGCCATATGTTTGTCTCGAATCGCTGGTAGGGCCCAAAAATCTGAATTTATGACATGCAACTAAATGTAAAATTAATCCCAACTATAATATTATAAATGCGAAAGTAACTCTGTCTGTCTGTCTGTCTGTTACGCTTTCCCGCTTAAACCTCGCAACCGATTTTGATGAAATTTGGCATAGAGATAGTTTGGAGTCCCGGGAAAGAACATAGGATAGTTTTTATCCCGGTTTTTGAAACAGGGACGCGCGCGATAAAGTTTTTCTGTGACAGACAAAATTCCACGCGGGCGAAGCCGCGGGCGGAAAGCTAGTTATATTATATGACTGTATGTGTTTTGGACCTGTCTGTAAACATACATTTTCTGATAATAAATAAATAAAATGTAAGGTGCCCCATAAGGGCTATCTTTTCTTTTTTATTATTTACTATATTTTGACATTCATAAGTGTCACTTGTGGTCTAAACTGAATACATATTTTTGATTTTGATAATGTTTTCTTGATCTATTCCTTCCAGTGAGAAGCCCCGCAAGACATCAGAACCTGAACCCGAAGCGAAGCGAGCGAAGCCTTCAGAAGACGACGACGCCATATTCCAACTCCTGCGCAGCACGGAGAAGCAGAAGCGGAAGCGGGATAAGAAGAAGAAAGAGAAGAAAGCTAAAAGCGTGTTCCATAACGCGTAGAATAAATCGATTTAAAGTATATTGTGTTTATGTTTAGAATAGGCTAAAGCCTGGTCCGTGAGCACGTAGAATTTTGTCCAATGACCCCAAGCTACCCATCCTTATCGCTCGCGCGTAATTATATTCCTGTCGCGACTGTGCGACGGGCGCCCGCAGTGAGTGTGCGAGCGCGACAGCAACATAATTACGCGCGAGCGATAGGGATGGGTAGCTTGGGGTCATTGGACGGAATTCTATGTGCTCACGGACCAGACTATAGTTACCTAAAAAAAAAACTGGAGCAAAAAGGATTGATGTCCGTTTTCACCATCAATCCCTAATTTTTAAGTGACCCCTATGAAAACAAAATACCTGTTAAGTGTTACCTTATGGGTCACTTAAAAATTAGGGATTGATGGTGAAAACGGGCATGATTCTTTCAATCTTTCAACTTTCCCCAAGAGAGGGAAGTTCAATAGTTTCAAAAAAATTAACCTTTTCATACAAATTGCCTTTAGATATCAATTTTTATTTTTGACAATTTGGTTATCTTTCTTGTAAGAAAGTTTTTGCATTTCCGTCGTGGTAGAATCTATCCTTTTGGTTCAATTCACAACCTCTTACAGGGAAAAAAAATGTGTCATTAGTTGCCGTTCTATTTCGAGTGGCGTTCGTTTCCATAATGCCCTCTGCGACTACAAAACGTGACTGCGTTTTGTAGTCGCAGAGGGCATTATGTTATTGCTATTATTAGCAACAAGTACAAGTTGCTATTTTCCGCAACCTAGGGGTTTGAGACAGGTAAAGCCTGGTCCGTGAGCACGTAGAATTTTGTCCAATGACCCCAAGCTACCCATCCTTATCGCTCGCGCGACTGTGCGAACTGCGACGGGCGCCCAGTGTTGCCAGTCGGGTCTAGTCAGAAATTACCAGAAATATAAAAAATAGGTACAATTGATCATCTAAATTCGAAAAGTGTAAACCAGTCGTAAAAAACGTTTCATGAATTTGCGTTTTACTATCGAAAAACATTCGCTAAAACTCATTTTTTTTAACAAATAACTTGAATTTGATTTAAATTCAAGTTTAAATGCACTTAATGACATAATTTTTAAATTGTCACTATTAATATTTTTTACTGAATAACCTGTAAAGTTAATTCTACAATTTCTGAAAAATCACCTAAAAGTAACCTTTTCATTAGTGTAACCTAAAAGTAACCACAGCAGTTCAAAAGTAACCTAAAAGGTTACAAAAGTAACCTTCTGGCAACACTGCGGGCGCCCGCAGTGAGTGTGCAAGCGAAAGAAAGATCCGCTAGATGGCGGGACGTGGATGTGGGGTCTGACTGCTGCGTGATTGGTGGATTTTGACATATCTGTCAATGTAATGTCAAAAATAACCAATCATGCAGCATTTGGACCTCGCGTCTACGTATTGCCATCTGGCGGATCTTTCATTCGCGAAAACCCTCATTCAAGCAACACGACACGTCCAGCTGTATTTTAATACAGTAACTTACCAACAGATGGCGCTGGCTGCACTTACCTCGCGATATCATTTGAATTTCTTGTTTCATGTTAATACTATAGTTCCAAAATACTGAACTGTCCTATGCATGACATTGACAGTGGGGCGCCACCGTCAATACCACAGATATAGATTAGAGTAGATACAGCAAGTTGATCGTCAAAGCGTGCCATTCCGATATGTCCAAATGGACATACATGGTCGAGTGATGTTCANCGCAGTATCTGGAGGCGTCGTCAAGCTGTGGAGCAAGAAACAGGAGCAGGTCATACAAGTCGGGAAAATTGATAAGATGAGGATGTGTCCTGATGATAATACGTTGTTTGCTACAGGTACAGTTGATGGAGTAGATTTTTCATTTAAGGCTTCTTGTACATGCTAAGAAATTTCACGGTGTCTGCCGCAGACAAGACAAGAATATCGTCAGAACTAGCTACGAAAATTTTTCGCACAGTGCACGTCTGCTGCGCGTCGTATCTATAGTCTGGTCCGTGAGCACGTAGAATTTTGTCCAATGACCCCAAGCTACCCATCCTTATCGCTCGCGCGTAATTATGTTGCTGTCGCGCTCGCACACTCACTGCGGGCGCCCGTCGCACAGTTGACGATAAAAACCTACTTTCACAAATAACATGAGTAGCAATAAATCAAAATACTTATCACATTTCGTCATTTTCTTCAGGAGGCGAAGAAAACGACCTCAAAGTGTACCGCCTAGGTGAGGCTGAGCCCACATTCTGCGCCAAGAACTTACCACATGACTGGTTACAACTCCGGAGGCCTGTGTGGGTGTCAGACCTGACATTCCTGCCCAATGAGGGCGGAAACTTGCTTGCTGTGTGCTCCAGGCATGGATACGTCAGGTACTGTGATATTTTGTCACTGTGATATATCGGGCGATCAAGTGACAAGTACGAGAGCAAGGTATGTGTGCACAAAGTAGTAATGTGTAACTTGTCACGTGACATATCGTGTGATCAAGTCATTGCGATATATCGCGTGATAAACGACCCCAGAGTACTTACCTTATTCGCCAAGAACCTTCCTCACGGCTGGCATGGATACGTCAGGTACGAAACATCATCAGGCATCGATACAATGTACTACGCACTAAATTTTGTGATCCAAACACTAGCTCTGTTCAACTGAACTTAACTGCGATTCGTACACCTTTATACTTTGACGTTTTGTTCGCGAAAAAACTATATTCTGTAAGCGGTCTAGCACTGCATTGAACTATAGTTTTAATTTCCAAATAAGAGCAAGAATTTTGCATACGATAGCTTCTCTATTCTTTATAACTCTCTGGGTAAAAACTGTTGTTAACAAACATGTTTTTCTTTCCAGGTTATACGACACTCGCGCGCAACGAAGGCCGGTGTGTAACGTTGAGTTCACGATGGCTGCTACTTGCATGGCGCCCAGTTTTGACGAAAGGTATGGTCATAATGATCAATTTAATAACGTTTTATTTAAAATCATTCTGAGTGAGATTCACATAATATCAAAATTGGTTGCAAATGAGCTTAACTATAATTAATTTAAAGATGTTCAATGAGACCTAGTGTATAGACGTTAGAGTGATGCGACTACGTTTTTTATATCATCATCATCTTAAGGTCATTTAGTAGGAGCACGACCCTCTAATTTACCAGACTATTTAGAGGATTTAGGCCTGGTTTCCATAAAAACGGAGAGGAGCGGAGACAAGAGGAGATGTGTTTTGACTAAATCAAATCAAAATCAAAATCAAAAACATTTATTTCTTAGAAAGTGGTAACATAACAAGATATTAAATAACAACGGGTTCAGCACCTTCTGCCACTTGTGGCGTAGAAATATTTACATTATAGCATTAAGTAGGTATACATAATTATAGAAATCATTCATATTATATTTTATCATTAATTAAATATTACATGGGTATATTATTATTTTTTATAATAGGTACATTTCATTAGTTAACCACCACCAAAATACTCAGTTTATCACAATATTGTATGGTAATATTTTTCCTCATTAGTCGTCAATCAATCATTGAAGTCATATAAAATATTCATGTCTAAAAATTCATTAACAGTATAAAAACATTCTTTAATTAGCCAATTCCTTAATTTATATTTAAATGTACATAATGTCATATTTCTGATATTAGGAGGGAGCTTGTTATATAATTTTATTGCATTGCAGTACACATTATGAAAATACAATTGAAGTCTCGCGGGTGGTAAATAGAGCTTAGTTTTGTCTCTTCTTCCTCTATTGTTTCCCAATACCTCATCCTTTGAGGGGAAGAGGTGTGGGTGTTTTTTCACAAATACACAGATATCAAATATATATTGGCATGGTAGAGGTAAGATTTTAAGCTCTTGGAACAGTGGTGTACAATGTTCTAAGTAGTCTGCACCGCATAAAGCTCGGATACATTTTTTTTGGGCTCTGAATACTCTTATTACGTCTACCGAGTGTCCCCATATAATAAGTCCATAGCGCAAGATAGAGGACACATAGCCGTGATAAGCAGTTAGCGCAGTATTTTGAGACGCTGTTAGTCTCAACCGACGTAGTGCAAATACAAATTTGTCTAATTTTATACACAGCTGATTAATATGTTCTTTCCAGTTTAGATGTTCGTCTATCGTTATGCCTAAGAATGTAGCTGAGTTAACTTGCTTGATCTTCGTTTCATTGTAATTAATATTAATAGGAATGTCTCTGTTATTGTATGGTTTAAATTGAATTGCATTCGTTTTGTCAAGGTTAATTTTTAAGTAATTTTGTTCGAGCCATACTATAACATTACTCAGTTCGTTATTGACTAATGTTCCTAGAGATTTTTTATCTTTACATTTAATTACTACTGTCGTGTCATCAGCAAATAGAATGCACTCTTGTTTTATCGAATTGGGAAGGTCATTTATATACAACAAAAATAGCAACGGGCCCAAAATGCTTCCTTGCGGCACGCCAGAAGCGTTGATTTTGCATGTGGATTGTGATATTTGTTTTTTGTTATCAATTATCTTACTTATTTCGGTGTATTGGTAACGCTCAAATAAATAGCTTTGAAGCCAATCTAACACTTTGCCTCTGAANAACCAATCGGATAGCACTTATAGTCTCGTAAAGTGCCTCATAAAGGCTACCTTTTCTTTTTTTATTATTTACTATATTTTAACGTTCATAAGTGCAACTTGTGGTCTAAACTGAATAAATATTTTTGATTTTGATTTTTCTCATCTCGCCTCATCTCCTCTCCGCTCCGCTTTGGTAGAAATAACCTGCCAACTCGTCTCGTGTCCTATTGGTGGAAACCGGGCCTTACCCTGTACCCTAGGGCCATCTTTAACCTACTAGGGGCACAAGGATCAAGGGAGGCCCTTCTCATCTGGAGAAAGATCTTTTATGAGAACAGACGAGGGGGGGGTTTCCTTGATCGCGGGGCCCTGGGCACGTGCCCAGAGTGCCCTGCGGCAAAGAGGGGCCTGCATACCCCCACACTGGGCATTTTATTTATAGATATTTATTTCTCATTCCAGACAAGTCCTAGTGGGCTTCGGTCGCGGTCAACTGCACCAAGTGGACCTACGGAAGGGCAAACCCGATAAAGGTTTTAAAGGAAGCGCGGGCGCCATCACCGATATAACCACAGTAGCTGAAGGAAGACTAATTGTTAGTACCAGTCTGGACAGGCAGCTTAGACTGCATCAGTATGAGAGCAAGGAATTAGTGTATAAGGTAATTTATTGTAACGTGATATTTTGTCACTGTTATATATCACGTGATTTCGTCACGTGATATTTTATCACTGTGATGTATCGAGTGACGGCTATAAAGGTAGCGCAGGCGCCATCACTGATATAACCACAGTAGCTGAAGGAAGACTCATCGTTAGTACCAGTCTGGATAGACAGCTTAGAGTGCATCAGTATGAGAGCAAGGAATTATTATACAAGGTATGTATTATTTTAGTCACTGTGATTTATCGCGTGATTTTGTGACTGTGACATATCGCGTGATTAAGTGACACGAGTACGAAAGTAAGGAGTTGGTGTACAAGGTAGCGTGATGTGTGTCACGTGATATATTATCACTGTGATATATCAAGTTATTAAGTGAGCAAAAAACTATATCGGGTGACTAAGTAAAATAATTATTAAAAGACAGTGAGATATCACCTAATTCCTGCTCAAATAAATGAACCGAACATTAATTTTCTTTAACAGAACCATTTAATTGGTAAAAAAATAATAAATGAAAATGAAATTAAACTCCATAATAAGCTTATCTTTAATTAAAACATAATGTAACTCATTATAGCCTGACCAGGAACATAAAAACCCTCGCCATATTGCGGAAAACTAATGGTACTAATTTCTTTTAATGGCAACAGTAACTGAAAACTTCATTGACATGTCACCTTGCATGTCAGTCTATTGATGTCAAAGTNTTATCAATTATCTTACTTATTTCGGTGTATTGGTAACGCTCAAATAAATAGCTTTGAAGCCAATCTAACACTTTGCCTCTGAAGCCATATTTTTGAAGTTTCAGTAGTAAGCGGGAGTGAGAGACATAATCGAACGCCTTGCTCATGTCAAGAAGGAGTCCTACAACCGATTCTTTGTTATTTAAAGCCTCTGTGATCATTTTAATTAAAGAAAAGCAGGCAAGAGTTGTCGAGACACCTTTTCTAAATCCAAACTGGTTTGGTACAAGGACATTATTTTTGTTTAGAAAATTTTCCATCCTCGTCATCATAGCCTTCTCAAAAATTTTTGAGATAATTGGTATCAATGTAATTGGTCTATTATTATAGAGTTATTAACTCATATTTGTAGAATCTCCTTTTTTAAATACAGGTTTAATTACGGATAGTTTTAGTCTCTCAGGGAAAATACCCTGTTCAAATGATAGATTAATTATATGGGTTAGCGGTGGAGCTATGAGCTCGGAGCATAATTTAATAATCTTTGTGCTTATTTCGTCGTAACCTACGGAATTTGTATTATTAAGGGATTTAATAATTTTGATTACTTCATAATCGGTAATTGGTGATACAAACATGCTGCTTTTTGCATCGACAATATTGATATTTTCCCTTATTTTGTTAATGTCATGTTTATTGTTTGATGTCAAGTTAATGAAAAAATCGTTAAATAATTCGGAAATGTCACTAGGTTTATTGTAAGATAAGTCATTTTTAATAATTGTTTTTATGTCATTTTTATTACTAGTCATATTAATGTTATTTTTAATTATTCCCCAGGCTGCCTTACATTTGTTTTTAGACTTTGCAATGTACTTGTTATTGTTAATTTGGTGCGATTTATGAATACATTTTTTTAATATTCTGGTATAGTTGGTATATATTTTTTTATTATAAACTTTATTGTCAGCTTCTTTTTGATATTTGTAATATATTAATCTTTTTTTTACGCAACATTTTTTTAATCCTTTCGTAATCCATTTGTTGTTATTAGTCCCATTTCCAGTCTTTATACTTACTATTGGAAAACAGAGATCATGAAAAAGTTTAAGTAGGTCATGAAAATTCTCAAACGACTTGTTACAATCTCTTTCTTCGTAGACATTATTGAAAGACAACGCAGAAACGCATTCGTAAAATTTCTTTATATTATCTTTACCTCGATCGCGTCGACTTTCAAACCACTGTCGTTTTGTATTTCTTCTATTACCTATTATAGGGACTGAGAACGTTAGGCTTTGTCCCGTATCATGGTCTGATAGTGCCAGATGGTGTATGCCAGTTTTTATGTTTAGATTACCTAGATTACTTGCTATTTGGTCTATGCTGGAGGCTTTCCTAGTAGGCACGTTAATATGGAAATGTATATTATGATTGAGAAGGATTGCCTCTAGTTCCTTACGTTGGGGACTGTCTTTTAGAACATCAATGTTCCAGTCGCCACATAATATGACATTTTTTTTGTTATTCCTAGTAATTTTAGACAGAAGTAGAGTCAGTTTTTCAAAGAATATTTTTATATTCGAGTTAGGAATTCTGTATATACAAATGACAATGAGATTACATCCAGTCAGTTCTACCCCACAGCATTCGAAATCGTAACAGCTGGCTAGTTGATTTGTGATTGGTAAGGGTATGAAATCAATATCATTTTTTATTAATAGACATGATCCCCCTCGTCTTTGCTTTTCTCTACTATACCAAGCAGATAACTTATAACCAGGCAGACGCAAATTGCACTCTGTTCCCTTTTTAATAAAAGTTTCTGTAAGACATATAAGATCTATACTTCCAATAATATTTGTTAATTCAGTCAGTGTCAATTCAAGTACTTCGTTTTTGTTAAGAACCCCTGCAATGTTTTGATGAAATAGAGTGAAGACCTGTTTTGTTTTCTCGTTAGCTAGGTCTTCTGAGAGGGTTGACCTGTTTTCGATAAAAAATCTAATGTCTGTTGATTGTGAGGAGATATAGTCGGGAAGTTACTTTCCATGTTAATAACAGGAAAATAGTAAGGGATAGTACCTTTTTTAGGAAATGATTTACTATTGCAACTTTTTTTACTTAAAGAACAGTTCATTTTGATAATTTTTTTCAGGCCCTCTATCGATAGGTACTTAGAACTGTAGTCATTATAGTTTATTATTAAATTAATCTTTTTACACATTAGATACAGAATTTTGTTATTATTAAGGTATAATTTATTATTTTCATTTATGTTCACAAATGTACAATTATCAATGCTTTGACACATGTTGGCTATATGAAAATTCAATTTACATGTATTCAAATATTGGTTATCGATGACGCTTAATACAATTATATTAATAAGGCGGAATCGCTTTAAGATTGAAGCAAATTCCATGAAAACTTTCATCGGATTACAATCATGTTCACCTGCACATAAAACTAAATAGTTCTTAGACGAGTCTTCGACCGATGCCCATTCATTCAGTATTTCTTCAGCCGTGGCACCTGGTTTAATATGAGCGCAGATTGAGTATTGTTCAAGGCTATTACTGCCAAGTCTAGTATAATGGAGTTTCGATCCCAGTCCGGTACATTGCTGACTTCCTAGTATGTATATTTTGTTGTAAGGTTTGTTGGACGAATTGGTTCCTTGTGTATCATTCAAGACGCTAGATGTCGGAGTTGCGAGCTCATTTTCTGTTTTTCTTGTAGGAGTCGCAGGCATTTTCTGCGCCTCATTCTGCTGATCTTGATCCAGATTATTCAATCTAGTTTTAGTTTTTGAGGACGTCGTACAGGATCGGTGACTGGGTGTGCGTGAGGATGTGTAATGGTTGCTTTTGCAAGGTGTTGCTTTGCGTATTACAGGTGTGAGTAGCTGCTTAAGAACTTGGCTTTTCTTTTGTTGGTTATCAATATTTTTCTCCAAGTTAGTTATTTGTGTATTTAGTCTTTCGATTTCCATGTGAGCGCTTGCCAGTTGAATTTTGAGTAACTTTATTTCTTCTTGTAGCTCCTCATTCTCTACTACATTTGCATTTAAGTCTGGGAGACTCATTCGTGTATCTTCCATTATCGAAGAGGTATTTTCATTCATGGATTCCCCAAATGAATTGTCGAGTAATTCGACAGAAGACGCACGAAGTTTTCCCCGCCTTCGTGTTGTTACGTTTCCACGTTCAGCATAATCGCTGCTGTTATCTTTTTGGGTTGGTATTAGAGTGGAATTATCACTGGTTGGAGTTAGTGATTTTTTGTTTTTAGTTAGGCATTTGTCACATCTCCATATCTTTTTTCTATCCGCATCCATAATATTGAACCGTTTGAAGGGCACATTAGCACATCCTAAGTCCAATGTTTGTTTGCAATTTGAGCATTGTAGGTATTCTCGTCGTGGTATCACGTTTTTACATTTGTCGCATTTCCTTCTCTCTGATTTTCTTTTCGAATTCTCCATGTTTAATTTGTTTATTAATTAACAAATTAATATTTCCTTAGCAAGTAATGTTGCAGAAAAAGGAAAANTTTGCAGCGGGATTTGATCTCACAACTTGTGAAGACTCAAGAAAATAAATCTTCCAAAATAATATTAGACGATGAGATTTGAAGTCCGGGTCCAACAGAGATCGATATCAGCATCGGTTGACACTTATGCCACTCAGCCACGCATGCTTAAGTGTAGGTTGGCGAAATGTTGATAGTGGTTGTTCGTGTCGTAAATTTGAATTCAACACAGGCGGTTATTATGAGTCATGCCAATGTAATTTTGCACTATTTGACAAGTCACTGTTTAGACACTTTTCATAGTTTATCACTTTATTATCACACTTGTGTATTGTTTTTAGTTAATTATCGGTTTTTGAAGGTTTATATATAGTTTACCATGCAATTTCTCACTTTTCAACGTTTGTTTTACGTTTTTTATTGGCTTCTTGTCACATTTATTGTAATTGTTTATTTTCCACTACGTGATGATTAGTTTTTGTAGATAACACTCACACTTAAACTTCACATTATTTACTATTGTTCGTACTGTTTTTTTTTGTTCAAAATCGATGTTTTGTTATTTTTATTGAAAATTAAGCGCGGAGCCGAAGTAAACATGACGGCAGCGCCATCTGTGCTTTACACAACATACCTAATATTTCCTGCAAGAAATTCCGCAAAAACAATGCCTCCTTACAAGAGTCGGAGAGTGACATGTATTCCGCCTCCGTGCTCNGGTTTTAGTTTATCAATCATAATAATCTTCTTGACAAGATAAATCGTCAAACAACTTTGATCTGAATAATTTTGAACTTTACTGACGAACAGTTAAAGATTATTTTCTCTAATTTGAGATTATTCTGTAACATAGTTTCAAAAGGTAATATGTGCTCGCGATTGGTTGAAGGAATCAATTTGAAAACTGACGAACCTTTTCATTCCGTGACTGTACAAGGAGCTGGTGTTCAATGTAATGTGATATTTTGTCACTGTGATATATCAAGTTATTAACTGACAAGTATGATAGCAAAAAACTATATCGAGTGACTAATTCATGCTCAAATAAATGTCCCGGACAATAAGTTTCTTTAAAAGAACCATTTAATTGGTAAAAATAATAACAAATGAAAATGAAATTAAACTCCGTAATAAGCTTATCTTTAATTAAAATAGTAGTCTTAACGCGAAGTTTATTAATGAGTTACATTATGTGCGATGCTCACAAGCAGACTGCAGCATCGCAGCCGAAACGTCAAGCCGTGAGCACAATATAATGTAACTCATTAATAAACGTCGCGTTAAGACCCGTGTCTTACTATTTTCAACCGACTTCAAAAAAGGAGGAGGTTCTCAATTCGACCCGTATGTTTTTTTTTTCTATGTTTGTTACGCGATAACTCCGCCAATTATGAACCGATTTGAACAAATCTTTTTTCGGCGTATAGGTAATACTTCAAGGGTGGTCCCATTTAAATTTAATAATAGAAAAAACAACCCCCAAGGGTGGAAAATTGGGGATGAACTTTTTAATACGCAATATCTACGCTGATTATAAATCAATTTGAACGATTATTTTTTTGTTGAATAGGTATTATCAAAAGGGTGGTTTCATGCGAATTTGAAGAAAATATTTCACCCCCAAGGGTGGAAAATTGGGGATGAACTTTTTTATACGCAATATTTTTAATTTTTAGTTTTTTTTTGTGTTCACGCATTTGAAGTCGGTTTTATTTTTTAATTATTGAAATGGAACGCAAAATTTTAAAAGCTTATCTTTAATCCTCCACAGCAATACCTAACCTCCAAGCTGACCTGCGTCCTGGCTCAGACTGAGACCACCACACCGCTCCGCTCCGTCAGAAGCGGAGCGGAGACCGCTGAAGCGGAGGCGGTCGCGGTGGCGGTGGAAGACGATATGGACGAGTTATTTGACAATATGGAGACCGTCAGGTGAGGATATTATTATTGAATACTAGCTTTCCGCCCGCGGCTTCGCCCGCGTGGGATTTTGTGTCACAGAAAAAGTTTATCGCGGCATCCCTGTTTCAAAAACCGGGATAACAACTATCCTATGTCCTTTCCCGGGACTCAAACTATATCTAGGCCAAATTTCATCAAAATCGGTCCAGTGGTTAAGGCGTGTAAGCGAGACAGACAGAGTTACTTTCGCATTTATAATATTAGTATAGATTACTTCAGCAACAGGACGTCCACTGCTGAACATAGGCCTCCAATGACTTCCCATAATGACTGGTTGGCAGCGGTCTGCGGCATCCACGAAGTGGACCGACGACCTCATAAAGGTAGCAGCAAGGCGCTGGAAAGCTTTTTTATAAGGGGGTCCTTAAAATTGTGCTTGATTTCCTAAATGGTCCGTGGACAAAAAATGTTAAGAAACAATATTGACAAAGCTGTTGAGTTTCCAAATAAATAAATAAATAAATAAAAAAAATAATAGTGGAATTACTAGTTAAGGCTGAGTTACACCAACTTACTTTAACCGTAACTATGTTAATAACCGGTGATTTTTGTATGGAGTTTAACGGATTTTTGACGTTTAAAGCTAAAGTAAGATGGTGCAAGTCAGCCTAATGAATATACCGTAAAAGCTCAGTTTACGTTTTACCATAAAACCTGTTTTTTATATACAGGGTGTTCCAAAATTATCACGTCACATTTTATTAATTTTAATGTTTTCTTGATCTATTCCTTCCAGTGAGAAGCCCCGCAAGACATCAGAACCTGAACCCGAAGCGAAGCGAGCGAAGCCTTCAGAAGACGACGACGCCATATTCCAACTCCTGCGCAGCACGGAGAAGCAGAAGCGGAAGCGGGATAAGAAGAAGAAAGAGAAGAAAGCTAAAAGCGTGTTCCATAATGCGTAGAATAAATCGATATAAAGTATATTGTCTTTTTGTTTCATCATTTCAGCCACAGGACGTCCACTGCTGAACATAGGCCTCCCCTAATTCTTTCCACGTTGATCGATTGGTAGCGGCCTGCATCCAGCGCTTCCCTGCTAAAGCCTGGTCCGTGAGCACGTAGAATTTTGTCCAATGACCCCAAGCTACCCATCCTTATCGCTCGCGCGTAATTATATTGCTGTCGCGACTGTGCGACGGGCGCCCGCAGTGAGTGTGCGAGCGAAAGAAAGATTCGCTAGATGGCGGGACGTGGATGTGGGGTCTGATTGCTGCTGCGTGATTGGTGGATTTTGACATATCTGTCAATGTAATGTCAAAAATAACCAATCGTGCAGCATTTGGACCTCGCGTCTACGTATTGCCATCTGGCGGATCTTTCATTCCCGAAAACCCTCATTCAAGCAACACGACACGTCCAGCTGTATTTTAATACAGTAACTTACCAACAGATGGCGCTGGGTGCACTTACCTCGCGATATCATTTGAATTTCTTGTTTCATGTTAATACTATAGCCTGACCAGGAACATAAAAACCCTCGCCATGTTNAAAAGAAATTAGTACCATTAATTTTCCGCAACATGGCGAGGGTTTTTATGTTCCTGGTCAGGCTATAACAAATTATCAGTTTTATCGGAATTAATTAATTTTCGAATCGAGTCGCACGATATCTTTCGATGACTTTGCGAAAGCAGTACGATGATACGATTACTTTTACGTTGCGGCAATCACTAAAATTCGCTAAAATGACACTAATGACGTTTAAAAAGTGGCACGCTCGGCTTCATACAATTTTTGACACATGCTGCATCTATCCATATCTGTGGTCAATACCGGATCGCTATAGATGACCCACGCTGAACTGTCCCGCCAAACTCAATGACAGGGGGGCGCTACCATCGTTCAACTATATGGTTTCCAACATGGCAAAAATCTGAACCAGCGATCCGGTATTGACGGTGGCGCCCCACTGTCAATGTCATCGACAGGACAGTCCAGTATTTTGGAACTATAGTTCCGATTTTTGCCATGTTGGAAAATATATAGTTGATCGATGGTAGCGCCCCCCTGTCATTGAGTTTGGCGGGACAGTTCAGCGTGGGTCATCTATAGTTTGAAATACGGCTCAATGTATTAATTAAAACCAGTTGTTTTGAAATTTTTGAAGGCCAAAGACGTTACGTTCTTGGGCCAATAAAAAAATACGAAATATAAACCTGTAACTGCCTGTAAGGTACTGAGTACGTAGTGCCATTTTCTCCAGTGATGCGGATTAACGCCCGTATTCACAAACGATGCTAGCATAAGTGACGCAGCAAATCGAACGCATAGCGTTGAATAGAGCTCTGTGATTGGTTCGTGTGTCCTGTGCGTCCACGCGCACTGAGACCTCATAGTAATGTTTGTGAATACGGACGTTAGACATCCGCATTTCATTATTTCACATTTTTTCCTATACTCGGGCAACACGCACGCGGAACGCGGATTGGCTGCGGGCACACAATACGAAATCTTTGTCCTGCGTGCAACCGCGTGATTTTACACAATGAATAAAAAATAATCAGTTCTTTAGTTAATACTATTTATTAGTACTTAGATCATACAAATAAAAATTTTGAATCAAAATTTTACATTGTTAAATTGTTAAAATTCATAAATTTTAGATTTATTTATTTAAAGGGAGCCCTATTTTTTCTCTAACGATTTAACTACACCAACGCGTGTCGCCGCATGTCATAGCCTATGATCGCGCCGCAGCGATGGCGATCTGAAGCATAAGAATATGCGCAGACCATCGATTTTTCGTCGGCCGATAGTTTAGTCGGGCAGTTGATCAGTATGGGCATGTATGGGAGTGCGCACACTACGCCGATTCGATTTGGCCGATTCTTCATACAATTTAAAATCGGGCACAACTATCGGCAAAAATCGATGGTCCGCGTCTAGTCAAATGTATTGATTTCTTAAAACTAAAGTTTCATTCACTGGATTTCACAGTAACTCAAATATTATACTAGTTGATCGGCCGATTCTCATCGTTATGAATCCGCTCGCTTCCAACAACCGTGTTGAGTAGATTCCACAGCGTGTTGCTGTCTGCCGTAGACATGTCTATCTCGAATGGATGCAGTTGTTTGTGGTACTCGCTTTTGATATCTGGAGGAAGACTGGTTAAGGATATTTTCTTTGATAAAATGGGAAAAAACTGTTATTAATTGTAAGGCCTAGTGGAGAAGAGAAGTGTGTTGAATAACCAATCATATTTCATTATTTCGACTTCTCGTCTCCGCTACGCGCCGCGTCGTCGCCGCTTTGGTAGATTGACAAATAAAAATATATGTGTCCAATTTTTTTTGATATTAAACATTACTACTAACTACAACTAAAAAAATTTTTTTAGGAAACTAGCCTATTAAATGGTATAAAGTATTATTTGTAAAAGGATACAGCCCTTGGCGATGTGTGAGGGTGCACTGAAGTCCAATCGGATGCCAGTCAGCTCTTTGGCTAGCTGATATGCTTCTCTGTAAAATAAATAAGACTTTATTGTACACCATACAACCAAGGAAAATGTAAAAAAGAGAATGCACAATTTAGGCAGTCTGGTCTTAAAATAATACTTACAGTAAGTAGGTATATCTTCGTCACAGAATTAAAACTTTCTTATAATAAACAGGTATTTTACATTCCCGTAGAATATGAAACCCTACCCATTAGAAAAGTTTTGTTTGTTAAAAAAACCTAATAGATTTTTCATCCAGTAATTAAGTAAGGAAAGTTCTCGAGTGGCGACCACAGGCTGGAAGACGTAGCGAGGGCAGGCCTCCTACTAGGTGGACTGACAATCTGGTAAAGGTCGCGGGAAGAGCCTGGCTGCGGGCAGCGCAGGACCGTTCATTGTGGAAAACCTTGGGGGAGGCCTTTGTCCAGCAGTGGACGTCATTTGGCTGAAAAGAAGAAGAAGAAGAAGAATTAAGTGCAGCATTTACCAGAGATGAAAGCATGATTTGGTATAAAATACATTTCCCATACTGGCCAGACTACATTTTTGTGGTAAAATAGAACCCATCACAACTGCAGAGAAGATACTGCAGTATTTTTAGCTTGGTGTGCTGTCGTCTCAGTCTGTACATAAAAGTAAGTACTAACAATATTCTACAATAATTTTGATGTTTACTCACTTAGCATTATCCAGTCTAGTTTTGTCGCTATCTGCTATCGTCAGGCACGATTCGAACGAGGCACACACTCTGTCTAGCTCGTTTCCACGTCTAGATAGTTCTGCAAGTCGATCTGTGAGGTCTTTCTGAAAATATACAAAATGATGACTAAATTTAATTTGTGTTTGCATTGAAAACTGGCAGTAAAAGCAACGGAATGCCAGTAAATGTAAATTTTTTAAGAAAATAAATAAGAGGGATAGATCTTAGCTGAGTTTTAGAAGGTCAAAAGCACATCAAATTATAGTGATTTGGTTTCTACTGAGAATGTGTTCTGAAACTTACGTTTAGCTTCATTTCATGAGCCAATTTGGTCTCAAATTCAGTTTTCTTCTTACATGCTTTAAGTTGCTGCTGTTCTTTGTCTATTTTCTCTGTAAATATTCAGAAGAAATTGAATTAGATGCGTTGTTTGTAGGTCGTGAGAGCGATGTACGTTTTTCGTTAAAACTTACCATCGAGGCGTTTGCAAAATGCATCCAACTCATCTACAGCTTTTAAGTACAATTGGTCTTTAATTTCTACTGCCATTTTGTATGTTGTAAAGTGAATTTTAGGTCAATTTCTAAAAATTCGTGGTTTGTTTACTAACGACAAATTCGAATTCAAAATGTTTGACATTGACAGCTCTCTTTTTTTAAAAAGGTACCATTCACGGTACTTTTCCTAAGCTAGAGTCGTTAAAATAGTGATAGCTCAATGATTCTCTTCCATAGCTCAATCAATTTGCTGTGTATCCGAACGTATTTAGACGACATGTGCTAGTGGCGCCACTCACTGTCAAAAACAGGAACCTGTTTATCGCCATTTTTGTGATGGCCGCTGATATTTATAGATCGTAGGGTGTTGTTATTCCTAATAAATAAATGCATTGAAAATGGAGGAAACAAAAGTAATATATTACATAGACGACGAAGAGACGCCGTATTTAGTTAAAATCCCCATATCGCCAGAGAAAGTAACGTTGCTGGACTTCAAGAACCAACTGAATAGACCGAATTACAAATTTTTCTTCAAATCCATGGACGATGACTTTGGTGTGGTGAAAGAGGAGATTGTTGACGATAACGCGCATCTGCCGTGTTTCAACGGTCGTGTAGTGTCTTGGTTGGTGTCAGCGGAGGGTTCAAACCCGTCGGACGGTGCTTCTCAGTGCACGGATAGCAATGCAGGGAAGGCGAAACCAAACCCCCATGGAGCCCCAACAGTTCCTCTCACAAGGGATACGTGTACAGACACGGACAGTACGATTAGTTCCCGACCGGGTCACAGGGCGTCCTGTGATAAATACAAATACAGAGGCCTTAGAATCAACGGGCACTCTAAATATGGTAACCACGGGCTAGAATACGAGACTGCCTCGGTTCTGAGCTCCGATTTGGACTCTACTAGCCTGTTTGACAGTCAATCTGAGATCACAACTACCACTGGACGCCACACGAACGCGTCAGTAGACCGAGCATTGACAGAATGCAGTAGTGTTTCCCACCTTCAAGTTAGTTCGCGAAAAAGGCCTCAACGAAGAAGAAAGAGACCTCAAGTTATGTCCAGAACGTCTTCCTATTCCTCTATAACGGATTCTACGATGTCTATGCACATTATTACGGTCACTTTGAATATGGACACGGTGAATTTTCTGGGTATTTCTATAGTGGGACAGTCGAACAAAGGTGGTGACGGAGGGATCTACGTAGGAAGTATAATGAAGGGCGGTGCAGTGGCTCTGGATGGAAGGATAGAGCCTGGAGACATGATTTTGCAGGTAAAACTTATTATATTTTTAGTAAGCAGTACTTTCTTCTGCACAAAAACATTAATAATGATTGTAAAGAGGATGCATGTTTAGTTTATTTTTTCTCAAAGTTGTTGTATATTAATTGACAGAAACTTGAATGAAATCAAGATGCAAAAGAAATCTGTTGTAAGCTCCACCACACTAGTCTATATTACTATTTAGTCCCTAAAATGATTTAATTTCTATCCCCATAGGTGACTTTAAAGTATCTATAAATAAATACACTACTCCCAAGAATATTTTAAAACAATATAAAATTAACAGCATTTCTATAAGTAAATATAGGCTAAAATTAGTCTATCATTGATAATGAAACATGCTTTTTTGTGTTGATATGAATTTTTACAAATACACCCTGTAACTAGTGTTTTTTGCAGTTATTTACAAACATACATGAACATTATCTGTTTGTATTGGCCTGGGTGTTTTCTATGTTTAAAATGAATGTATTTAAGAAACAGCTATATCAAGAAAGTATGTTTACATCAGTTCTCTGGTGCCGATAGGACAAGCTTAGTTTGGGACAGTTTCCTAATGTTATGATGAGTTGACTACTCTTTTACAACCCAAAAGCACCAAACATTGATCACAAACCCCCATAAACTATCATGTCAACAAAAAACCAAACATTGATCACTATTCCCCATACACTTTCAGGTGAACGACGTAAACTTTGAAGACATGACCAACGATGAGGCAGTGAGAGTGCTCCGTGAAGTTGTCCAGAAGCCCGGGCCCATCAAGCTGGTCGTGGCCAAGTGCTGGGACCCCAACCCCAAAGGGTACTTCACGATACCCCGGACGGAGCCTGTCAGGCCTATTGACCCCGGTAAATACTAAATACTCTTTCAAGTTTTATTAAAATGGCTACCCAGAATTTTGCTTTGCTCCTAGTTAAAGAGTGGCACAACTCATTCTGCATATTAATTAAATAATGTGAAATACTTGATGTTTCTCTACAAAGAAATATTTTGAGATGTGCTATTCTTTATCTAAGTGCATGTACTATTTGGTAAATGGGAAACAATGGAAATGCCTTATTTACTGGTAATACAAAAATACAAGAGCAGTAGTGAAGTATTTAGAAGTATCACTATTTTATGGATTGTTTCTTTCCAAGTTTTTTTTATCTTAACTGTGACTGACTTAGTTGCGCTGCTTCTTCTCAGCACTGGCCCATTTATTATCCCAAAGCAGTGGTAGGGTTAAAATAATATTGGGATGTGTGGTGTATAAAAGCCTATTTGCAGAATATAAGTTACTAGCTTTCCGCCCGCGGCTTCGCCCGCGCGCGTCCCTGTTTCAAAAACCGGGATAAAAACTATCCTATGTCCTTACCCGGGACTCAAAACTATCTCTATGCCAAATTTCATCAAAATCGGTTCAGTGGTTTAGGCGTGAAAGCAACACTGACAGAGAGACAGACAGAGTTACGTTCGCATTTATAATCTATATAAATAAAAATGAATTGATGTTCGTTAGTCTGATTAAAACTCGAGAACGGCTGGGCCGATTGAGCTGATTTTGGTTTTAAAATGTTTGCCGTAGTCCAGGGTAGGTCTAAACGGTGAGCAAATACGCGCGCGATATTGTTTTTCTGTGACAGACAAAATTCCACGCGGGCGAAGCCGCGGACGGAAAGCTAGTATTAATATAGATATGACTTAATGTTACCCACATTTTCACAATAGACAGTTTGACACCATACGCCAATAATTCTAAACTGCAACTGTTTTAAAAAGACTCTTCATTCTGGTCTTCAAAGCCTAATTTATTTTAAATTACCTGTAAATTTAGATTTTTGTTCGAATTGTAACTGAAAAAAGTAGTTTAATTGGGTTGACAAAATGGTGACGTCACTTGCTTGTAGTGCCATACAAAATCTATGGGAGATTTTCGTATTGACAGTTTTAAAAAGTACGTCAATTGACTGTGGTGTCAACATGTCTATTAAAAGTATCTAATTTGACTTACAGGCGCCTGGGTAGCGCACACGGCAGCGCTAAGGGAGGCCTACCCGCCGCCGCCGCTGTCGGCGCTCCCGCCGTCGGAGCGAGCGAGCGACGCGGGCACCGTCGACACCGCGCCGCTCAATGTCGGCATGGACGTGGCGCACGTGGTCCGGGCCATGCTGCGGCCGGACTCAGGTAAATAGGGCTAAAAAGCGAGTTGCACAGGCTCAAAGTGAGTTGCACAGGCTCTGAAGTGAGTTGCACAGGCTCAAAGTGAATTGCACAGGCTTGTGTGTTGAGTGAGTGAGTGAGCGAAGTGAGTTATACGTGGTCAATGTGAGTCGCACAGGTTCTAAAGTGAGTTGCACAGGCCCCAAAGAGTTTCGCAGGCTCCAAAGGAAATTATACAGGCACAAAGGGAAGTTAACAGGCTCTAAAGGAAGTTACACAGGCTCCAAGTGAAGTTACACTGGCTCTATGTAAGTTATACATGGTCAATGTGGGTTACACAGGCTCTTAAGTGAGTCGCATAGGCTCAATGTGACTGTCTTAGGCTTCAAGTAAGTTACACAGATTCTATGGGTCCCAAAGAGTTTCACAGACTCCAAAAAGAGTTTCCTCGTTGTGGATAAAAAAAGAAAATAAATTACACAGGTCTTAAAGTGAGTCGCACAGCCTCAAAGTAAGTTACATAGACTGTCACTAAGGGAGGCCTACCCGCCGCCGCCGCTGTCGGCGCTCCCGCCGTCGGAGCGAGCGAGCGACGCGGGCACCGTCGACACCGCGCCGCTCAATGTCGGCATGGACGTGGCGCACGTGGTCCGGGCCATGCTGCGGCCGGACTCAGGTAGATAGACGATACTTAGGTTAGAAAGTGAGTTGCACAGGTTCTGAGTGAGTTGCACAGGCTCTAAAGTGAGTTGCACCGGCTCTTAAGTGATTTACACAGGCTCAAAGTGAGTTGCACAGGCTCCAAAGTGAACTACATAGACTCTGAGTGAGTTATAGAGGCTGGAAGTTAGTTTCACAGGCTTCTTAGTAAGTTGCACAGGCTCTAAGTAAGTTATACATGGTCAATGTGAGTCGCACAGGCTCTAAAGTGAGTTGCACAGGGCCCAGATAGTTTCGCAGGCTCCAAAGGAAGTTACACAGGCTTAAAGTTAAGATACACAGGCTCCAAGTGAAGTTACACTGGCTCTAAGTAAGTTATACATGGTCAATGTGGGTTACACAGGCTCTTGAGTGAGTTGCATAGGCTCAATGTGACTGTCTTAGGCTTCAAGTAAGTTACACAGATTCTATGGGTCCCAAAGAGTTTCAACGACTCCAAAAAGAGCTTCCTCATTGTGGATAAAAAAAGAAAATAAATTACACAGGTCTCTAAGTGACTTGCACAGCCTCTAAGTTACATAGACTCTAGTACTAAGGGAGGCCTACCCAGGCGCCAAAGGAAGTTACACAGTCTATAAGTGACTGGCACAGCCTCTAAGTTACATAGACTATCACTAAGGGAGGCCTACCCGCCGCCGCCGCTGTCGGCGCTCCCGCCGTCGGAGCGAGCGAGCGACGCGGGCACCGTCGACACCGCGCCGCTCAATGTCGGCATGGACGTGGCGCACGTGGTCCGGGCCATGCTGCGGCCGGACTCAGGTAGATAGATAATACGTAGGCTAAGACACAGGTGAAAGGGAGTTACACAGGCTCTGAAGTGAGTTGCACAGGTTCTGAGTGAGTTGCACAGGCTCTAAAGTGATTTACACAGACTCAAAGTGAGTTGCACAGGCTCAAAGTGAGTTGCACAAGGTCTAAAGTAAGTCGGACACGCCCAAAAGTGAGTTGCACAGGCTCTAAGAGAGTTGAGCACTCTAAGTG